GTTCAATTCCTGGAACCGATTCTCTAGGTATTTTGTTATTTCTGTTTGCCTAATATTTCTCCGTTATATCGAGAAATATGATAAATTATCACTTATTTCATGGCTCTTATGGGGAACATATTTACAGTGGAACTGTCCCAAACAGTTCCCGGCTGCCCTTTTTGTGTTCTTATACGTTTCCATCTTTCCTATGTTTCGCATCGTCAATCATCCAAAATTCCATGAATTCGTGGTCGATCCCATTCATTCAAACGACCCATTCAGTCGAACGACCAATTAACTCCTTCAGAGTGCAAGCAGGCCTTGTACAACGTCGAGAATTAAAGGCATTGTGCACGGGAAATCGAGTCCTTTATTTCCCATTAAATTGCTCTGTTCGCAGTCGCAGAAGGCCATTTATGAAGTTCCGTCTTATATATGAAAATTCTTAGGGAAGCAGCTCTCAAAAAACCTCATCTATAGTTGTCTTGCGTGGGCGGAGCCGAACTTGTTGTGGCATGAGTCGAGTGGGTCCACATGTAAATTATTGCATCGTAGGAAAAAATCAAATTCTGACGTGATTTTCTTACGTGTAAACGTGCGTAGTCTTCAACACGCTAAACGTTAATTTCCACGTCAGAACGTCCTTTAAAGAGATTGAGCGACTTTTGGCATTGGATTTTCAGGTGACAATACACCAGAAAACAATTGCAAAGCTTACTCTGGTGCTCCAAGCTACTTATACTCCTTTAATTTTTCGTATTTGTTGTTTAAATAACAGCTACTTTTCAATATTTTCGTCCTCCTCACGAATTGCGGAGCTTAACGAATTGACTCTGGACAAGGTAGAGTCACGAGGTTTCTGTTCTTTGGTGCGATTTTTGGAGCTTTGAAATGAATAGATATGTTCATTTGAAGGCATCGAAAATCTTGCTCCTATTGGCAGAAGGAATTGAGTACAAAGCCGGTTCTTTCGTCATGATGGCACCCACGCGCCAGTCCGTTTGACCAATAAACTTGTAATGTCATCAAATATGTTCAAAGAATGTTGTCCTGTTGAATTCCTCCAGCCACTTTGCACGTTCATTCGAACAGAATTATCGCAATGTAAAGTCATTATAACTAAAAGTCTTCTTTGATGGCGCCGGAACGACGATAGGTGGAAGTCAAACAATTGAAAGAATGAAGAGCAAAATTTCACGTCCTACTTGGAAGCATTTTTCGGCCCTCATTGCCTCAGGAGGCATTCCAGACAGGACATCTAAAAACCGATGGTAAGTGGCATTAGGTATAAGCCCAAGAGAGGACGAAGCGATCCTCCTCAGAATCCCCTCCCCTTCCTAAGACTTATTCCCAAGTACTGTAGTTGGCTCACTCACATCAATGTCCCCACCCCACCCCTCAACATGAAAGCGGCATTATTTCACATTCCGAGGCTTCCTTCATGGGATAGGTTCCAGTCGCTCTTTGAGTCGCTATCAGAACACTTTGTAAGGCCCCAGCGCCTTTGCCACGCACTTTCGAACCGCGACAACGGCATATCTGCTGTACTCGTGAGTAACTCAATCCCACCCACAGAATAGGTTCTTCAATACGACCCCTTTTTTGGGCTTGTTGCTCTTAGAATCTGTGAGCCGAAGAACTAAAACTACGTTACACGAGCTGTTTCCTCTTTCCAAGAAGGACGAGAACATGAAAGAGCTAAAATATAGAAGTCGATCATCGAGAATTCACCTGAAAATATGGTCTGATCAGTACGATTTATGTACTATATCATTGATCTAACCCTGGCGAAAAGACGTGTGTTAGAAAGAGAAGCTGAGGACGAGAGCATGAAGTAGCCTAGAGGTACGAGCGGCGCAGCCAGTGGAGGGGAGGGGCGCTAACGGATTGGGTCTTACAGGGTCTGAGGCCCGATGTCGCTTCCTGTTGTAGTGATGGCATCTGCTCCACCAAATATGCACCTTTTCAGTAGCTTAGAACATTTTAGAAAATTATTAAGGCATGTGCCTCCAAGGCTTCAAGAAAATTCTTCTTCAATTACTGTGCCTGGGAACCTAAAAATCGCCGATTGCGTGCTCCCATGCTTTTTTTGGGCACAAACTGGCGCCTTAAATAGCGACTGTCTTATCAATTACTGATTATGTTCAGGAAAATAATGTCTACGGAATCACACTGAAGAATGGTACGAAACAACTGGAAGCATTCACGACGGCAATTCTACAGTTCTATTTGGTCAGCAGCTATGAGGATGTCGATGTCATCTACAGATGGTTGCTTGCCGTCCGGGAAACCTTCAAAGAGAAACGTTTCTCTATCCTCCAGGTAATTTTACGAGAAGCTTCGAATTGGTCTTTGGATGGCTCATAGGATTTCCTGAGGATTTCCTTACTGACTGAATTCAAAAGCAACTAACCATAAGCAGGGTCAACCGTCCGTTGGACAAAGTCCAACGCGACGACGAGAGTAATGCCGAGAGTGAACGTACGCACGGAGACACAGACGGCTCGCGGGTGGCGAGAGTGAATGCCGGCGCGGAGAGCGGTCAACATCGGTCCAACGTCGCTCCAATATCGGTCCAACGTAACGGTTGACCCTGACCATAAGTACTGTAACTAGTAAACCACTGATAAAAAATCATATTCGTAGCTGGTGTAATAAAAACATTATAGGGGCCAAGGCTAAAAGGCGATCTTGCTCCCTTGTACAAGTTAGGGAAACCGTGGCATCCGGCGAACTATACAGACCACCCACTCCTACCTCCGATGATTGGTGGCGACGACGCTTCAAGTGAAATTCCGTTCGTGGGCTCAATTGGAGAACGGGTCCCGTCTATGACAGTCTGGCCTTGTGTGTCTTAGGTTCACCGGCAGGAGACTAGTCTGTGAGGCTGAAATTATTCACTAACTTGTCTTGTACTCTCCGTGTGGGACTTGGTGTAATTACAGAAATAGTGTCAAACTTGACATCAGATCGTATCAAGCGCATCAAAAGTCACACGCGTTATTGGTTTTTCTCGAGTCCGTCCCCCTGTGCGCCACTAATTCTGCATTTGTAATATGAAGGCCATCAGAGTGTACATAGTCTGGCTTTCATAAGTTCTTGCATTCGACCGAAAGCATTGCTATTCCGTACAATTCGATATAGAAATCTGGTGCGTGGCGCATCAAGGATATGCGCGTTTCATCCTGAGCCTTATCCAGGACGTAAGTGGTGTAGTGTCATGTGGCACGCTTACCACGCGCGCGGTCCCGCGTCTGATCCGCGGTCCCGTGATTGATGCATGTGCGCCGTCCGTGGCAGGATCAAACCCGGGACCAGGCCTTCCATCCCTCGGTTGATTGGTACTAGACTTGTCTGGGAAAACACTGACTTTAACATTGGCTGGCCCGCGCAAGTCATTGTATAGGCCATATCGCCCCAAACGCCACTACGGATGCACAAATTCGAGTAAAATGCGTGACGTATCTCAAACGGCAGCTGCTTTACCCTTTATCCTTTATCGTCAGCGTTTATTCTAGAGCCGTTGTCTTCTACCGCTCCGCTTCTCAAAAAATGCCTGGGCTGACATTTTTGTGAACATCGTTTTGTGATGCGACATGCACTCGAGCCTTGGTTGGAACTGTGCATGCGTTTGAAAGCGCATGGGGAATCTACAAATTTGTTGTACATTAAAGGATAAAGGATAAAGCATTTGCCGTTGATCAATCCCTTTTTGGGATGCGGCACGCATTCTACTTCCATTTGTACATTCGTAGTGGCGTTTGAATGCGATGTGGCCTATACAATGACTTGCGGGGCCAGCCGATGTACAAGTCAGTGTTTTTATCCTCCCAGACAAGTCTGGTACCAATTAACCGACCCCGGAGGGATGGAAGGCTTGGTTGGCCCGGGCGACTCACGACCCAGGATTTGATCCCCGGACCGCTCGCGTGGTAAGCGCGCCACTTGTCACTACACCACTTCCGCCCTTGTTGTTGTACATTGCGATATGGAAATGCCTCCACCCATTTCCACAGTAAACTTTTAGGGTCTCTTCGATGATCAATCGTCCATTATTTTTCCATGTCATAGGTTGCGGAACTGTTAACTGTTCAACTAATCGCAACCAAGTGATCCGTTGTAAATTATGCGAATTGCTTTGATGAACTGCCGACTGTAGGTTGGAAACCGACAACCGGTTTGACCAAAAAAGCACGTGTTCTCAAATGGGGCGTCACGAGAACAATAAGTGGACTCAAGACGTTCATTTTATTTATCATGTCTAGCCAATCGACAGTTTTTTTATTGGGAACTCGGGCAATATGGATACATTTGTGGTCGAAAATATTCCAAAGCACTCAATAATGGGTGAACTGATGTGATACTGTCACTTAAAGGCACATCCCGCAAATATCTCAGTAGACAGATCCTCCCTCCGATTAAGGTTGCCGCGTCCGTAACCGCAGCGCATGTCCATTTTCGCGACTTGAAAGCATAAGTGGTGCCATAACTGCGGTACGTTCCATCAAAGCAAAGTTTTGGTGAAAAAGGCGCCTCTGTGGCGTAATTGGTAGACTGTAATCCCGGAAAGGTAGAATGTGGGGGTTCGATTCCCGCCGTGGGACGTGAGCTTGTCCACCTCTCAGCATTCTTGTGAAAGATGAGCGGAATAAATAAACAAGCACAAATGCTAAATAAATAATGTTTATTTCAGTGTGAAGTTACTGGCGACTCATTTGTGTCGGCTGAAGTCCGGCGGATGGGCGTTGAGACCGCTCCGATGATCACCATGTCTGTTATAGCGATGATTTTCTTTGTAGTGATCTTCTCACTCAGGTGAGTTTCTTCTGTTCTTACTTTTTTCCTTTCCTTTATTTTTTTACTTTTTAGAATTTCCTATTTTCCAACTTTTTCGAAGTAAAGAAGAAAAGAATGTACCCACATTTTTCTTGCTTTTAACAAGTTAAAACTTATTACGGATTTGCGATTTAGGCTCCACCCCATTCGGTGCACGCCCCGCCCACTGAATACACTAAATCTTTTTTCATCATAACCTGCATCCACGTTCCTTCTGTTTTCTGATGGAATCGAACTGTCAATGAAAAATTTCTCACTCTGCTCTATGAAGGGTGCGCCATACTCAATGTGGGGATGGGAACACTCCACCTATTGTGGGCGGGGCTCCGCTTATATTGCGAATGCCTAGCGCTCTTTATACAGGGCACTTCTCCTGCGAGTCTACTGCAGTCGATGCTTTCTAAAAGTCGATTTATGGGTTTTTGAATCCTGCAGACATTGCCATCTTATAACATGCCATTCAAGGGTGCAGGACTGGTACTGCAAGAGGTTCAGGGTGGACGACAAGGGAACAGCAGCACTATCTTACCGTCCTTCAAGGCGAAAGGCCCTACGGCTGTAAAGTAGGAATGCGGACCTACTATGTATAAATTTTCAAAGATACACTTCTATTATTATTCCTTACAATTTTGCTGTGAATTCTAACGTATTTTCAGGCGTGATCCATCTCGAGCAAAGCCATGGGAATCCTTGGTTGGTTGCCTAATCCCATTCCGCTATTGGCTCTGATCTCTACCACAGGGCTTTTGTCTTGGTGTGGCTGGAAATTTCAGGTGCGTTTCCTAGAAGTGTGTCGCTTGACCTCGTAATGGATAACAGGCGGCGTTGCGTCGCGGGAGCGCTACATATGTTTTTGTTGCCTCTGCCGGGAATTAACACGGTTAACCATAGCCATTATTTGTGTAGTGCGCACTTGTTTTATGGCACTGTTCGCCTCCTCGAACAAACAGTGTTTCGGATTGTTGAAAGCCCAGAGCAGCCGCCCCACAACCGCGCGCGGAGCCGGCCTACGATTTGTACGACTACGCGAAATTATGCGCTCTGTCCTTGTTGTTCTACCGAGTGAGGTCTTCAAACGAAGCTTTCAGTCCATAATCGTAGCCGCATTCTTCTTGGTGATTTCGGTTGGTGTTGATGACGTTTTCATCATTCTTCGTGCCTGGGATCGAACAAATACCGAAGAGGAAGTGCCGGAACGGATGGCTCAAACACTTGAAGAAGCTGGACCGAGCATTCTTATAAGGTAGCGTTTCTCACTGCTTTTTAAAAATTTACTAAGTAAGTAATTAGTAGTGTCAGGGAAGAGAAAATCCTTCTAGAAGAGATCATCGCAAATTAAAAAGAGATGACCGATTTTTTTAATGAGAGTATAACGAATCCATCAAGGGTATCGTCTGTCGTTTGCCTTCCCCTTTTTTTCCAAGGCGTTCAGTGCGCCTCACAAATTCATCGCGAGAGCTGGAACACTCTTTTGTTCTGACCAAAAGAGCCAAAAAACTCGCAGCTCAGAGAGCACACCATGATATCATTTTTGTATCCTTATATTATCAGCACTTTTAATAAGGCTAAGCATTCGAATGCTCCGTTTAGATGCGGTAATATGCCAAATGTTTGGCTCTCTAACTAATGCAATGTGTACAGCGCGGTAAAGAGCCTTTTATCTCAACAGAACTCTCAGCAAAGCGAAATTCGGTCACATCCTAATATCGTACCCATGTGATATCCAAAACGCAGGGCACCAAATTACGACAGGCATGTTTTTTGAGAAAAAGTAGAGTTCAACTTTCCAGTTCGATCACAAATGCAATGGCGTTCTTCATCGGTATGACTTCACAGACCCCAGCAGTGCGATCGTTCTCGTTGTACTCTGCGATCGCCATCAGTATCTGCTTCTTCTATCAGCTGATCATGTTCTGTGCTGTGCTGGCCGCTAGCGCTTTATTCCTGTGAGCCGCAAGTTTGTTTCGGCCAGAGCTTATTTGTGTTGGAGAAGAAGCGAACCCCTAACGTGAGCGCTCGTAGAAAACTTTTCCTACATGTTCAACCTGGGTGTTGTGTTATAACGTTTACCCAAAGTCACCCTTGGGTGATTCGTCATCGAATGCCCACCCACTTGCGCTGGTGTAGCTTAATGTCCAGCTTGGCAGCCTCTGCAGCTCGATGGGATTCCAATAAGCAGCGACGTTGTCTGGACTCCTAGCTAAGGTCAACCCTTACGTCAAGGAATAATTTGAGACCTCCCTCCACACCTGGAAGAGTCACCCTCATTCAGTGGTGGAATGTTGTGCTGTCTGTCCTATTCTAACTCCATCACCTCCCTCAGCAACAAAGGTATTTCATGTGGAGTGAATACACTGCGGTTTTCTACCTTTCACTCCCCCCCCCCCACCGCCCCATCCCCCCATCGCATAAGCCACAAATACGAGCCCTAACCCTCAAGTCAAAAGTACAGATCTTTCGTTGAATTTGGCCCAGAAAACCTTTACTCCATCTTCTATAAAACAATGGTCGGTCTAAAACCGTCAATACGTCCATGTTTAGGCCAGATCAGCGCTTGTGGAGCGAGTTTCGGCAGTGCAAGCGGCAGTTATTCGGCGATATTCTCAAATTCTGCCGACATGGCCAACAAGGTACGTGCAGTTTTTCTCTACAAGTTTTTCTTTTTGATCATTTATTAGGATCGTTCTTCCTCTGGGAGGATTATATACAGTCTACTTGTCATCATCCTCTATAACTCTAATAAATATGCTGAAGTGCATGACGTCGTTTTGGTGCCTTAAATGAATTGAGAGGGTGCATTCACTCATCCACCGTATCACGTTTCTCGGCTTGTGGCCCAGAAAAAAAGGAAAATCGTACACCTAGTAGACCCAGACAACGCATGAACAATTGCTGGACCTATAGAGTGAAGAGGAGGGGGAGAGCGAGTGTCCGTTCCTGCTATCGATACAGGTACCCGACAGGAGGCCTGTTGCGCGGCGAGAAGACAGGGACGCAGACAGCTCAGCGGACGAGTCGCAGCGCGTGCTGTGCGATGTGGACGTATTAAATACATTCTATTTAACTTGACGCCAAATCGCTGCAGTACGCGCTGCGACTCGTCCGCTGACCCTTCTGCGTCTCTGCCTTCTCGCCGCACGACCAGCCTTCTGTTGGGTACCCTGTAGATACGGTTTCTGCCAATCCCAATTCCCGGCTCTATCTTCCGCGCGCACCCGTGGGTTTTCTTCTTGCGCATCCGAGTACAGCGGGCATGATCCAGCTTTATAAGAAGAGGCATACCAGATTATAGCCTGTGGCTGTAAGACTACCGCACTGCAACCATCCCGTCTCACCAATCAACAGACCACCCGGTCTCGCTCGCAATAAGTCATCTAAAACCTACACAAATGTGACAAAAATGCAACGAAGCTGGAACCGGATGATGAAATGGTTTTGATTTCATTAGTAGTTGTTAAATTCCTCTGACTAAAAACCAACAAGACCAGTCCGGTTCCCGATGAGACCAATCGAAACGCTGAAAAACAAACCAGGGAAATTTATCGCTTAAATCATCGGCTATGATCTCTTATTCCAATTGGGGTCGAGGCAAATCATTTTTCCCGAATACTACCTTTACAACTCCCTTCTCTTCAGAATCGTCGTATCAGTTCTGAGGCTCTGAGGTGCTATCGCAACATACGGGGGCGTCCTTTAGAACTAAGCCTAGAATTTCGAAGGAACTCCGGCGAAATTGAATATGGCTTACGCACCGTCAGTCTTTCCATACCCAGTGGTCATCCCGATACAAAGGGTATGTTTTACCGGTTGTAATTGCCATAATCCATAACGTCCCGGTATCTTGCAATAGCCCGCTTCTATGGATTAAAAACTATCCGCTGAGTATCCGAAGCCTACTCAGTGATGCGAGCAGTACTGATCATCAGCCAAGATGGCACCAGGTGCTCTACCCATAAAAAGTTTGTCGGCGCTAGGTAAGACTTCAACCCGACCATCCCGACAACCAGCGTTGCTGTTCTTAAGAGGATGTCCCATAAAGTGGGTCCAAGCCAAAATTTACATTTTACGACCGCTTTTTTTCTCAGTGGCCATCCATCAATACGGTACTACCGACATTCGTGCTTGGTAAGCTGTTGAGGTCTTCCTGAGAAGTAACTCAGTACCAGGAGCGTTACAGATTACTCGGTATTCGCACAGTAATAGTGACGCAAAAAATCTGATCTCACGACTCCCATGAAGCTAACCCATCAGACCCATCAAGACCGGTTGCGAATTAACTCGTGGTCGTTCAGTACAGTAGGTAATGCAAAAACGTGAAAATCGGGTGACAAAAGTTACGGTAGGATCGTTTTTGTTCTGAATTCTTTGTGTTCTCGGAAGTTGCTATTTTTCTTTCTCTGTAAAAATTTCCATATTTTTTATGAAAATTTAATTTTTTATATTAACCGGAAGATCAGTTAGAACTATTATCAGCCAGTTTTATACTAGTTTCCAGAGCGTATTTCGATATTGCCATTAGAATCACAAAAGCCAATGAACACCTGCTACGGAAACGGTGATCAGTAGTCGGTGTTGTATGAACAAACAAAAAATAACCCTTGGTGCTAGTCACCATTTTTTTCTGGAATGCGCCGTGCATTCTACTTGATTCTGGAAAAGCAGTGGCGAAAGCAGTTTGGGCGTATCCAGTGTCTTTCGAGTGCCAGTTAATCTTCAGTTCGGCGCTCCTTATATCAATCTAGCACTAAATGTCTTGCCCTTGTGAGGATTGATTGGCCCGATGAATTTGGCCCAGGGCTGGATGATCCCCGGACCTCTATTCGGGTTGTAAAAATGGTGTTCTGTTCCACTACCCACCGATATTTCATGTCGTAGCATGAACAGAGCCGGTGTGTCAAAATGTTTGCAAGTATTGATTGGTGCATGACTTTTGGGACACAGTGGTGCTTATTTCAGGTTCATATTAGCGATCTTTATGGGCTTCTACTATTACGCGTGTGTTGTCGGCATCCTACAATTGCGCGCACATTGATAAGTGTCGAGAAGATGGCGCTGCCTGATTCGTACCTCCAGACATTCCAAAGTCATTTCGAGGCATCTCTGGCGAACATGCAACCGATCACGGTGTTCATTTTGAATCCCGGCGATCTGCGGGATCCTAAGCGCTATCGAGTACTGTGCACGTTATCGATGGTGCCGTACTTTTGGAACATCGGTTGTGATTTCAGCGATCAAACAAATTGTGCAGGATTTTGAGAATTCCACCTATGCGTATGGACCGGAGAGCACTTTCTTCTGGATTACAGCTTACGAGGAGTTTTTGAACGTATGTTGTTCAGCAGTTTTTGCAATCTGCTATTTGTAGGAACTCTGGATCCGCCAGTCCTTGGTCTTTGGTTGCAGTATTTGTGGCGAGGGATTACATGTCATGTTCCACTTACATTGATGAGTCTGCAAAAGGGCACAAAGGGTGGTTAACCAAAAAAGGGTCAGGGTACCAGCAGTAACGAATTAATTTTTGCAGCCTTTGGGAATTATCTTCTTCCAGAAGCTTCTGGCAGGTTTTCGAACACTTAGTGTTGGGTGTGATCGTACTTGTGCATCCTGCAGGTGATAACACCGCTCTTTGTTCCTGCACTATCGGTCACTAGTCAACGGTTGTGCTATTTCAGTTCTACGGCGAAACGGAGGAGTTCACTTACGCGGAAATGCCACGTTCTTCAACATCGGCCACGTATTTTTATCTGGACGACGTTCGTGAAATACAACGAAAGTGCGTGTTTGGAAACGATCCCAAATGCATTTCATCGTTCTTCTTCATGACAAACTTCCATGGGGTAAGATCGATTTATTGATCGTTTATTGACTCATTCTCTTTTCACTTATTCGATGTTGTATAGTTATAAGTAAATTGAGCAAAATTTCCTCTAATACGTTTTCAGCATGATTGAGTACTGAACCTTTAAAAAATTTTGAAAATTAGCTTCGAGAGTTCCTCAGCTAAGAAAGTCTGTGCGCCACTATAAATAACTGTACGGGCGGTCGGCACACGGCTCCTATTAATGCGTTCTACCATGTCAGCGCGAAAATGAGAACCTGGGGTCGACAGAAGCGTGAGAACGGCTGAGTAGCACAATCGAATCTCGCCACGGCATAACTGTAGTGCTACATCGGCCGCATTGCGTCGCACGCGTCGGATATGTTAGAAATTGGCAATGCACTAACTGTTTATTTGTTTTTTTTTCTAGAGTTCAATAATTGGAGCTTACCTACTGCACGGCATTGAATGAGTTAGTTGCTTGCAGGACAATCAAATAATCATGAACTGATCCCGGCGTTGAAAGACTGGAGACGAATCGCGGCGAAATATTCTGACTACGATGTCGTTCCCTACACAGAACATGCGCCATTCATCGATCAGGTAGGTATGACTGTTGTCTAATCACTTTGAACTCTCACCACAGCTGAAACAAATTCAGCCCTTTTTATATTTATTTTTGCCACGAATGGTGAGAATGAACCAGGCCACTGGTAAGTATGCATATTTCCCAATTTAGGAGCGTTTAAGGGCAATGGTCAACCGGAAGGCTTGGTGATTCAGTGTTTTGTAGTGTTCTCTGGGACTCTCGCACATACACACTATTACAGCATCTCTGCTTTCTTTCCCTCCTTCGAAAGGCTTAGTCCCAGCAATGTGCTTTTCTGTCTGGACTCGCACACGTTGGTTGACCGCTGCCCCGTAACCCATTTAAGCCACGCCTTCGTATAACTTCGTATAATGTATTCGCTTACGAGCTGTTCGGCAGATATTATTGACCATTTTGTAACGTACATAATCGGAGGTGGTTTTGTTTGCCAACGAAGAGGAGCCGCGCAGGGTTAAGCCTCTACCAAATCCGTTCAAACCTACGAAGGTCTCCCTACACGTCGTCTTGTTTAGATATCCCCCCGAATCAAGGCATGCGTACCCCAATAAATTGAGTAACAGCCAAGCTTGGGGGTGGAAGTGGTGTAGTGACAAGTGGCGCGCTCACCACGCGAGCGGTCCGGGATCAAATCCTGGGTCGCCCGGGCCAACCAAGCCTTCCATCCCTCCGGGGTCGGTTAATTGGTACCAGACTTGTCTGGGAGGATAAAAACACTGACTTGTACATCGGCTGGCCCCCGCAAGTCATTGTATAGGCCACATCGCATTCAAACGCCACTGCGAATGTACAAATGGAAGTAGAATGCGTGCCGCATCCCAAAAAGGGATTGATCAACGGCAAATGCTTTATCCTTTATCCTTTTAAAAGCCAAGCTTCACATTCGCGCTCTTGCGAGTGTTGAGCAAAATCTTGCAATCGATTTCAAGAGTACATATAAATCGTCATATTACCAGCCTCTGGCGATCGACTCGACAGTGTGGGTCGATGGGAGCCGCTCTGCTGTGCACGGCAATCGCATGCTTTATCTTCATACCGAATTTGGCATGTATCATAACAGCATGTTTCTCTGTGCTTCTCATTCACACGACCGGATTCTTGATTACTTGAGTCTTTGGGGTAAGTAAATCTCACACTGACTTGACGCTCACACTGTTTCCCTTTACTGATTCGGCCGTAACTGCAGAGGCAAGAATAAGAGCATCAAAAGGCGTCTGCCAGATCGACTCCAAAAACATACGATTTTCTTTTATCCTTACCATGCACCGTAATAATCCAGAAAATTCTTGAGGTCAAGAGTGTGTGCGTTTACATATGAAGGCCGTTCGTCTTTGATCCGCTGACCATGGCGATAAGCGTGACTTCGCCGTTTAGCACTTTCTCACCTATAAGGCCGCGTTCATAGTTCGCGACTCCGGAGATTAGGATAGTACGCGACAATGAAAAACATATGTATTGACGGGGAGATTAGGATAGTAGTAGATTAGGATAGTGCGCTGACAAGATTAGATATGTATTGATCTATTCGCTTGAAGTCGCCCAATCTACTACTCTCCAGCGATTTCAATCGATACGTATCCAATCTTGTCAGCGCAATCTCCTACTCTACTACTATCCTAATATCCTGTCGCCTACTATCCTAATCTCCCGAGTCGCGAACTATGAACGCGGCCTAAGACAACTTAGGTCGATGATTTTTAATAACGATATAATCACAAACCACCCAGATGAATTAAGCTCTCCGCACTGGAGGCCTGCTAAATTCACCCTACTTCACTGTGGAAAATGCTATTCAGATTACTTAGAAGTTGTTGCTCAGGAATCGATCTCGATCCACTCTCTATGGCCGCTCTTCTGATGGCCGTCGGTTTCTCGGTCGACTTTACGAGTCACATAGCATATCACTACTATAAATCAAAACAGCAGGTGAGCCCTTTTTTAGTATTAGTAACTTCAATTTCTGACAAAATTCACGTAAACAGTAGAGCCTCCGGACATTGAGCCCCTTTTCATTATCCTTTTCAAATTGAAGTGAAAAGGATGGGCGCCCCTATGGTACTTACTTAGAATACTTAGACGACCCGTTCCTCAGCACGGCGGTTGGCCTTGCGCGGGTCCCAACTTCTTTCCATTGTTCTCGATCTTGGGCTATGGTTGTCCAGTGTGTGGTCACCCTAAAGGGATTCTGGATCATAGATGTTGTTTCGATGAGGTAGGGGATCTGTCCGTCTCTCTATGGCCCTGAGATTTCTTCGCCTTTGGCTGTTTGCTGATCCAGCGCTACCTGACTGGGCAGAGGCAGCCTGCAGGGGGACTAAGGCGGGAGTAAGAAGTGGTCGTGGTATCTTTCGTCCCACGGGATAGCCTTACCAGGGCGTTCCCGTTGCTCAAGGAGAGCGCCGTCCCACCAAGGGCTTAGGGCACTTTGCGTTCTTCAGTCACGGAAAGCGGTATGGGGTCTTGGCGCAGCCCTATCCTGAAGGATATTCAATCCCGAACCTTCAAGCTGTACATCATACATAGGTAGAACCATGTACAAGTGAGTGCCATTATCCTACTGTAAATACTTCTATTTCGGAAACGAGAAGAGCGTCGAGTGCAGACCACACACCACAAGTGACGACGGCCAAGAAAAAAGTGGCTTTCTTTTTCTTGGCCGTCGTCACTTGTGGTGTGTGGTCTGCACTCGACGCTCTTTCCCGAAATAGAGGGTAGTTGTCTTGATACCAACGATTTGTTTTTTTCAGGATCCCGCCTTACGACTGGAGGAAACGCTTACGAGCATTGGCTGGCCATTGGTGCAGGTGAGGCTTACTTGGTTGAAATTTTTACAGGTTTTCAAAGGGTCCGTCTCAGTAGGGCTGCAGCGAAACAGGACGGGGTGAGTGTAGAAACCACGGCTTGCGTGGCTGGGCGATCAAACAGCGGATCGAACTGCCACAATATGATTGACACACCCACTCCAGAGCCCCTCCTCTCTCCAAGGCTTAGTCCTAAGGCTCACACCTTACTGCTTGAGATTTGGAGCCGTTCTCTGGTCGTCTGTGCTCTAGCCTTTCGCAGCAGAGAACACAGGGGCGAGTTCAAGTAGTCACGTAATCCTTATTGGCGGAATTAGAGCATCTCCGTAATTTCCCTCAATTTCCCTCCCTTCCCCTCACGCCTCCCCCTTGAAAGCAGCTTCAGACGAACGGTGGCAGCGAAGTCGGGGTGTGGCAAGGTGGTGAGGGTGGCAGCAGGGGGACTGTGGTATGTCCCCTTCCGTCGATTACGATTCCAAAATTGTCAAAAAGAATCATCAAAAACTTCCCTTTACCCCACGAACGGCCCGCTTCCACCATCACGACTCCCACTTCTGGCAAAGGCATCGCGCGAAAGTCAGGAGAGGCCTTTACTTCATAAGTCTAGAAACGACCACTCTTCTTCTGTTTTCAACACACGGATGGCTTACCAAAAAGTCAGAATTTTCCCAATTTTTCTCCTAAAAACTTAGCGATGTTGGCCAGCATTGAGCTGCTACGAATTGATTCTTGGCGTGTTGGGTAAAACATTTGATTCAGGTTGGCTTATCGACGATTATCGCGATTTCGCCGTTAACAATGAAGCCGTCATATCTGGTGATGGTGTTCTTCAAGACGATCGTCGTTGTGTGCACACTGGGAATGTTCCATGGACTCGTCATTATGCCGGCTATCCTCACAGCGATTAGTCAATTCGGAAAAAGTTGTAAGTTAATTATGCAGTATAATTTTCTTGATCCATTTTCAGGATTCTGACAGCTGAACAATTTTAGTTATTGGGAACGAACATGCTTCTAGAGTACAACCAGTGTCAAAAGTCGCCTAACAGTGTCAAAAGTCGCCTAACAGTCTCATTTTTGATTGAACGTGTGAAAGGACTGTCCTCAATTGATCAGTCCATTCAATAGGACATGAAATGTTATCGAATCATACCATGTGATTGATTTATCCAGGGATGTGTTACTAGCATTGTTACGGGTTTTATGAATATTCAATGGCAAATTGTGAACACCAAGGTCACGCAGCTCGATCGTTAGCCTTTTCAGTCAATGATAGATTAGTATGGAGCAGCATATGACAGTAGAACACTTCTTCTCAAGGGGCTTAACAGCTCCTTCCAATTTACTTGCTTTTTTAGAGTTGTTTATTTACTTCATTTATTATTTTTTCGGCACATGAATATCCCATTCCCAGAGCTTACAAATACTCTCCTCCTTAGGCCAAAAGTTCTCGGAGGAATGTGATAATCGACGAGGTTCTTCCTCTACTCTCTACTCAGAGGGGGAACACATACACGCCTGTGAAAATAGTTGATGAGCGGCCAATAGACTCGTCCGCTCGTCGCGCCGCCGCGCACGGCTGCTTGCGCTGCGTCGCGACGCGCAACTGCTCAATAGGCACAGCGATTTCTAATTTTGAGGTTGAGAGCTGAATTTATCGCCTTTCACAATAATCTCTCTACAAAGGTCTGCTTCAGGCAATAGTTTTCTTGTTTGCCTGTAGGAAGATTTAATTTTCTCAACGGAAAGAGCACGCAGAAATAAACGAAGGCAAGGAAAAGGAACTATCCGCGCATTGATTGGAATTGAATGTTGGGAGGACAAATCGGTTTCGCGTCCTTTAAACCCTCAATTTCGAGTGATACACCCAGAAAATTCGTCCACTGCGCTTGTGGGCGTTGCAACGTCGTAGCCACGCCCACAAGCGTAGCGATGTGAACGATTCTGTTGGCATACACACTGTAATTATATCGTATAACTGGTATTTACTATGCAGATCCGACCGCTCTCAATGCATGAGATTGGGAAGTCCTCTAGATATAGATATAGGGGTCGGATTCACTTCCTTCCCCCAGGGGTTTGGACGACGAAAATCCCTTAAATTTTTTGTTTTTCGCGATATAGTTTCTTCATTTTCATTGCATCTTTTACTTGACCTACATATATACTGTACTTAGGCCCTTTATCAGGACAATCCCAGTTGGGGAGACAGAGAAAATTTGAAGGGATGTGCCACCCCCCCCCCCAGCTCCTTATTGGAGAATTGAATTCTCCGGCTCCACAATCACAATACGGTCGTGGTCGTGTGGTGGGGTTTGCGTCTCACGCGTGCAGGAGATACTATTGGTGTTCAACTGCCTTCATTATTTTGAGTACAATGCAGCGATGGAACCAACCAATGAGGTCCTGTGTTGATGTAGCGCAAACTCCGCCCACATGGCCGGCGCAGTGTAATCTCAGACGCTCAATTTTTGGACTCAATGACACATCTATTGGATCGCAACGTGTCCTTTAAGGTCCTGGAGTTCCCTGTGGGTGGCGTATAGGCATTTTTGATTGCATTCAGTAGCATGTGGTCGTCGATAGTGGGCGCTTGGCTTGAGACTTTTTAAGCCATTGGCGATTTATGGTTCTCCGATTTGTTTGTGGTCGCACTCTCTCAAACTCGTTAGGGCTAAACAGTTGTTCCACTGTACTTCGTGGAATAGCACATAATTCACATATTTTCAGCAGCCGCGCCAAGTGTCACTGACTCAAGTGAGGTGTCAGAACGTTCGTCGGACAGGAGCTCTGTCGAACGACAAGAAAGCTTCTATCGTAATCCAGCTGTCATTTTCAAGCTGAATCGAGATATTAAACATAACAAAGTGGCACCAGAAACAACAGTGGCTCTTGAGAAAGCTGACGGACAAGAGGCATTCAAGCACAATATAGTGCTTGGACAAGTGTCCCCGATTCCTCATCGAACCTAACCGGCTCAGCTGAGCAAGCCGATGATGAACCCGCTATCTGAACAAACATTTCACTTCTATTCATTTTGCTCATAGTGAGTGAGCTCATACAGTTGTAACGCTCATGCAAGTATCACTTCAAATAGCTAATCTCGAGCTGCGTGGCACCCATCCCCAAGTGATTGTGGTTACCGAACTTAAAGGCCCATTCCGCCATTAATTGGGTGTGGGCTACTGTGCCCTCAAATTTGAACAAATGTGGTCACTGGTCAAGGAGTGATCAAAAGAAGCAAATGAAATTGCTTCCAAACCTTAAAATTGCGCTATGCGCTCATCGTGTGGGCGGAGTTTGCGCTCCGCCTCTACCTTCTCATTTGTCAGCTCTTTTTTGATACGGCGAAGTACGGTGAAGGAGCCAGACTGGTACACTTCTTCAACATACTTCTCTGTCTCAAGAAGAGCGGTCAACTGATGAGAAGATGGAGGCGTGGCTTGCGCCCCCCCCACCCGCCCACACGCCCGTATGCCAAGCAACTTCTAGAGTTTTTGGCAGTTTCTACCCCTTCTCATCACTCGTTGGACAATTGCCACATCTGCTGTAATTTTGGGGTGCAACTGTCCATGCTTATTCAATCGCGTAATGTGCCCTTAAGTTCGAGATGATCAAAGAGCGTGATTCAGTCTGCCATCAAAAGTGTCGCACTTGGGTTTTTGTAATTCTATTAGATAATTTGGAAACAGCTTTGTAAGTAGGACTTTTCACTTCTCTTGGGTGATATCCAAGATTGCATTCTTATCTGAGGAACTCCACACAGGACCAAGGCAGTAACTTTGATATATAATCTCCTATAGTCGAGATCTCACGTACTAATTCTATTGAGTGTCATTCATGGTGACTTTTTGGATCTCAACCTTCCTTACGCTCATAGCCAAATGGCGCATACGGTTTGATAGCGGCGTTCACAATCGACAACTGGAAGCGCACGCAACTTGTCGCACCAGCTGCGCGTGCGTAAGTCCACCACGCGACGCGCGATGCGGCGGCGACCATTACGCCGTGACTACGGCGGCAACTAATCGGACACACCCGCAATTCATCGCTATATACTTGGCAAAGATTCAAGAGAGTGTTGACGGGTTTACGGTAAATACTCTTGCATTGTGCTACGAGTACTATTAAATGATGTACGTAGTTGTGTAGTCAGTAATGTTTCTGTACACTGTATTCATTAATGTCACAACCGATTCCTGCTTGAATCATACTGTAAATATCGGTTTTGCTGTGATCCTCTTAACTTCAGGATCTCTTTTGTCTGTCAATTGACGTGGCCGCGTGAATTATTAAATAATAATTGATTTTCTCTCGCAGCGTATGTATCGTGTCTGTAATGGAAATAGAGCAATAATTCCGAAAGCTCTCGGGAACTCGAAGAGGGAAGAAGATTTGGCATACAGCCCCTTTCCGGTACGCGCCACGCATTCAACTTCCATTGAGAACGCAGCATGATAAAGCCGTGTGCGACCCGATAAAGTCTCGCCGGTCGCTTCCGAGTGCAACTTCATGTATTCCTTCCATACGAGCCTGGCACCAATAGACCAATCCTGGAAGAATCACAAATTTTCGGCCTGCGCTGGAGCGGAACCATTCACAAAAGATAAGCGTGATAAGCAGATCACTTATCAGTGCTACATCACTGCTCGCTAAATGTTACCCGAGAACATCCTCTGGGTAGCTTTAGCGATTTTCTTCAAGTTGGACAGGCGTTGGGAGCATCCAGAATGGCCCATCCAGAATGTCTTGCGCACCGGAAGCAATAAAATAGAAAAGTTCTTATCTATCCAATAATCGCTGCACACTTTCGCATGGCCTTACATAACAGACATGTCATCACAGCTCAAGAAACCGACGAACGATTTCGATGAAAAGGTTAGCGGCCGTAAAAAAGGGCCGAACCACGCCTAGGACATTTTCATCATCAGTCTCTAATAGGTCAAGATGCGTTCGATGATTATTGCCTTTCTTCTCTCCTTAGACGCACTGCCAATGCAGGTTGGTTTTTCTTTGCCAGATGATACGGGTGAAGTCCCGACGTTGCAAACTACACTGGTGTGCAAAACTTAAGGACGGAAGTAACTTTCACATGATATCTCACTGCTAGCTAACCTAGGTCGATCAAATTTGGCACATATATAGAAGTAAATGTTGCGGTACAGTGCAGAGAGTTACTAACAGAAAAGCGCAAAGGGACGATTAGAAAAGACATTTTTCTTCAAATACCCTGTCTGAACTGGTCGATGGGTGAGGCTACTCCAACTCATGGTATGCTCTTACCATGGTTCAGTGGTAAGATTTGTTGAGAACAAAGTCCTCAACCACCAAGCAATGTATCAGAGGCAAAAAACCAATGCTAGCTACGATGTCAAGCTTATATATTGTGTGCGCATCAAAGATACACATTAAAACAGAAGCGTTACATTTCTACGAAAGCATGACAACAAATCTAGGAAATCGAGGCTAATGCAAGATACTGTAAAACAAGACGCGATTGCTCGCTACATGGTAGACATTCGAAAGAGTGGAGCTGGTCCTTGATGGGTGTATGAACACTACGGACTGCAAGTCATGCTCTGCCACGTGCTCCCATACTGGCCACAAGATTAAGAGTTCTTGTGGAGAGGGATCCATTCCTTGGCACCGGGCGACTCACGACCCAGGATTTGATCCCCGGACCGCTCGCGTGGTAAGCGCGCCACTTGCCACTACACCACTTCCGCCCATATTCGAGCAAAATCCCACCAAGCAGTTTGATTCAGTTCACAAAGTGCAGGCTCCACTAAAAGTCTTAAAAAGGTGTTCGAATCTTTTCAATCACAATAAGCGATACTAGCTAGAACTTTACCGCTTGTCAACGAATTGATAATTGATTGTATGGATCTAGGAGCTTTGTTGTAAATTCACTGGGAATGAGGAGTTTCCAAACCTTTGACGCGCCGCTTCTTACAGTAACGAGTGGCGCTACCACCACCAAGGCAACCAGACACGACTATCCACTCACATTTTATTAGTAATGAATATGAGTCCTGAATAACAGATCTCTTGGAGTTAGTAGCAGATACCTGAGCGCAGCCGATGCACCAGCACACGCCATCAGTATGGAAAGGACTGCTGCAGAATGAAGTTTGATGGAAACCTTATGGTCCGGCCGACCATGAGCGAGGAAGCACGCCTGACCATCTGGGAAAATTCCATTCTGGACGGCAAAAGCAGAGCCTTCCCTAATCGGTCACCAGTGGAAATGAGTCATGAGTCCACTGCGACAACAACACGCGGCACTCTGATGGCTATGGCTACCTCGCAGCAGAGAGATCAACCAAAGCTCGGCCTTCTAGCACCAGAGTAATCTTTCTAAAAGATTAACACTTTGCCCTATCATACTTCGGCCATCATTGACGAGGAGGGGGTCGAAACATTTCCAAAGAGAAACGACGACAGGGTTGACCCTGGTCGTGACCCACCAGAATGCTTGCCGACCGCTCGAGGTTTAACTTTGCATGTTTCCATGAATCTGAGCCTGGCACTGATAGACGCGACGCCCCGAGAGCACCAATTGCTCTGCACTGAAAGCGGACCTATTCACAATATACTGTGCGTGATGACTCATCTTATCAGTGTACATCACTGCTAGCTAAATGTTACTTTGATCGAACATTTTCTTGGATAGCGTCGAAGACGATTTTCTTCAGTAGACAAGGTTGAGAGCATGCCCCATCCAGAATGGTTTGCATTTTGCACTTGCAAATTGTAAGAAAATAGAAAAGTTTTATTTAGCCAATAATCGCTGCACACTTTCGCATGGCCCTACATAACAGACATGTCATCACAGCTCAAGAAACCGACGAACGATTTCGATGAAAAGGTTAGCGGCCGTAAAAAAGGGCCGAACCACGCCTAGGACATTTTCATCATCAGTTTCTAATAGGACAAGATTCGATGCATTGCCTTTCTTTCTCCTAGACGCACTGCCAATGCAGGTTGGTTTTTCTTTGCCGAGGTGATACGGACAAACCGCCTCGGATCAAAAGCATCATTTGATCAAGTTTCTCAAGTGCAAGCCTCACTAAGTCTGCAAGTTCCTTCAATCATTTCAAACATAAAAACGATACTAGCTGTACTGTCAGAGGCACTCAACGAAATTGATAATCCTCATATTAAATTTGAGAGTCTATTGTTGAATTCTACCTAAAATGAGGAGTTCCGAACTTTCTGACGTCGCGACTCCCTATAAAAATCTGTCATTTTCCATTTCATATTCGATTTATTTTGATCTTTAGAAGGGTGCCTTTGGCAAGTGGCACGCTTACCACGCGAGCGGTCCGGGGATCAAATCCTGGGTCGTGAGTCGCCCGGGCCAACCAAGCCTTCCATCCCTCCGGGGTCGGTTAATTGGTACCAGACTTGTCTGGGAGGATAAAAACACTGACTTGTACATCGGCTGGCCCCCGCAAGTCATTGTATAGGCCACATCGCATTCAAACGCCACTACGAATGTACAAATGGAAGTAGAATGCGTGCCGCATCCCAAAAGGGATTGATCAACGGCAAATGCTTTATCCTTTTTATGTAGCAACTTCGTATAGCACCTTAATAACTTCGTATAGCATATGGAATTTGGAATCAATATCGTGTCCATTTGCCGCTAGGTCAAGAAAAGAAGAAATCGAACGTTTGACCGCTAATTTGAAAAAGAAAAGGAACATTGTAATGAGAAGTTGATAACGCATTAATACATTAAAAAAAACAAAAATACAGGGGGGGGCCAAAAAAAAAGACATTTTGCCTCCACTTCCAGATGGATTTAAGCACATTTTGCTCAACTCAGACCGAACGGTTCCAACTTATTATTAAAGAGCGCATTCCATTCTATAAGAAAATCTTCATAGTGGCCACGTACGTGGACGGCATCAGAAGAGAATTTGCCCTGGAAACATGGTGCACTGGTCGATCTCAATGGGGTCTTCGA